CATCAGCAATTACATTACTCACATTCACCGCCTAAAGGATGATGCTATAAGCCAAGTTACTCCAAACTCACACCTCCTATCTGGTTTTCTACGCTTTACTGTCAGCGACAGCTCCCTGAAGCTCGAGGGCCAGATCCCATCTGCCACTTGCTTTTGCACAGCCCATGAACTAAGAGTTATTTTTGATTTTTATTTTATTTTTAAAAGGTTTATTTATTTATGCACACAAGAGCTGGGGTGCAGGCCAGAGGTGCAGGGGGTGAGAGGATTCACCAGAGACAGAGCGGGGAGCAGAGACAGATGTACCGAAACACACTGTTGAGGGGCGCAGCGGGGAGACAGGAGGGGTCTGCTGCGCCCTGGGGCTCCCCCCTGGCCGGGGATCGAACTGGTGCTGCGGTGGCTGCGGACAGCTTTGTAGTGCTGTGATTAGTCCCTTTTGCCACGAGGGAGGCCCTATTTTTGAATTTTAAATGGTTGAAGAAAAGTCAAAAGGAGAATATTTTCTGACGTGTGGCTACCACGTGTGCGCTGAGAGGTCACGCTTTGCGTGTGGCGACACTACACCGAGCGCCACAGCGGTCGAGCCGAATGGTGACCCAGACTGTGTTTCTCACAAAGACGGAGATAGTGACCTCTGACCCTTCACGGGGCAGGTGTGTCGCCCTCCCCTCTGCTCCCGAGGGTGCTTTCGCCTGCACACAGCAGAACGGTGATGAAAAGCTTGTACTGTGCATCTCTCCCCACCTCTGCTCCCCCATGTTATGGAAGTAGCTAGAAATCAGCCCCGTGGGGATAGTCACACCGCAGCAACTGGCCGGACTGGCTGGATTCAGAGTCGTTACGGACGTGGAGCCAAGAGACCCCTGTGCGGGCCGGACCGTGCCTGGCTTCTAGTGGCTGGAGCAGGGAGAAAGGAAACGGCCTAGAGCCCCAGCCAAGGCCCGAGCGTGCTGGGCAGCTGCCCCCCGTGACGGCTCACAGTGTCAGGCGTCGCGGGCTTCAGAGCTGGGGACAGGCGACCGTGTGCGCTCTGTGAACCGACAGTATCGGAGGCAGGCGGCTGGAGGGCCCTGACCGTGCCGGGACCCTACGCCCGTCAGCTCATCCGCAGGGGCACTGAGTGGGGAACCCTGAGACGGGGTGCTCCCAGCAGCCTCCCCAGGGCCTTAGGGAGGGAGGAGGCCGGCCAGGGAGGCGCAAAGAGGCTGCCCGTTGGCTGTGGGACAGAGGAAAGGCTGGGAAGGTGGGGCGAGGGGCCCCTGGAGCTTCTGGAAAGAGCACGTTTCTCCATTTTGGACGCTCACCTCCAGCACTGCGGGGTGACAGATCTGCGCTCCTGCAAGACCCCGGGTTGCCGGGTAGTTACAGCAGCCAGGGGAGCCCTGCCGGCAGACCCCAAGGTCTGCGAGGAGCCTCCGGCCTGCGCCGGCCAGGAATCCTTGGAACCCCCCCTCAGGACTGCGTGGGGGGAGGGGGGAGGGATGGGGGGGATGTTGGCAGCAGCCACGTCTGCACGGGTAATTAGGAGGCGGGACCAGCCCACCGCCTCTGACCCGTTTCCCGCCCGTTTTGCTGGCGTCTAGGGGCGTCCGGAGGCTGCAGCATGGAGCCCTCTGCTGGTGAGCTGCAGCTCGTGCCCAGGGCGGCGAAGGGTGACGCCGTGGGCCCCGACGCCGTGTGCTCTCGAGCCGTGGTCTCTGCTGTGGTGGCCGCTGCCACTGTCGTCACCACCCTGGGGCTCCTCGTGGGTAAGTCTCGCACAAAGACGCAGAAGGGGGTTGCAGCGCAGCTCACGGAGCGAGCCACAGCCCTGCAGCGTGAGTTCGATCCCGGCCAGGGAGGGACCCCCAGGGCGCTGCAGACCGCTCCTGTCTCCCCGCTGCTCCCCTCAGCGGTGTACCCCGCAGTCTGCTTGTTCTGCTCCCCGCTCTGTCTCTGGTGAAGCCTCTCGCTGCCCCTGCCCCTCTGGCCTGTGCCCCAATTCTGTGTGCATAAATAAATCATTTTTAAAAAAGGAAGAGCCAGAAGGGGCTCTGTGGGGCCCCAGGGACGGGCTGAGTGTCCCAGCGCGGGGTTGAAGCTGGCCCGGCCCCTCGGGGCTCTGGTAGACCAGCAGACCTGGTGCACGGCCGGCGGGGTCCTCCGTCCCCGGGGTGGCTGGGGCCGGCCAGCGGGAGGGGTTGGGGCCGCGTGCTTCAGGCTCCCTGCTGAAGGGCGTCTCTAAGGCCATTATCTTGGCTGGGGGTAAATAGAGACATAGAGGCACATCGAAACGGATTTTATTTTATCTTGAAAAAGTGAAAGTACAGACCCTCCCTGGGGGCGCAGCGGGTTAAAGCACAGCACAAAGAAGCTTAGTCCACTTCCACATGAGTTCGATTCCCGCCTGCCCCGGAGGAGATCCACATGGCGAGGCAGACCTCTCCTGACCCGCCCGCTGCTCCCCTCAGCAGTGTGCTTCGTCCATCTGCCTGTTCTGCTCCCCACTCTGTCCCTGGTGAATCCTCTCACCCTCCATATCTCTGGCCTGTACCCCAATTCTGTACAAATAAGTGAATGGATCTTTTAAAAAAAAAAAGTGAAAATACAAAAATGAACACCACTTCTTCCCCTACCACCCACAGTCAACAGTGGCTCACATCCGTATTTGCTTGGCATAAATTTTTTTTTTAAAGATTTATTTATTTATTCATATAGAGCTGGGGTACAGGCCAGAGATGCGGAGGGTGAGAGGATTCACCAGAGACAGAGTGGGGTGCAGAACAGGCAGATCGACGAAGTACACTGCTGAGGGGAGCAGCGGGCGGGTCAGGAGAGGTCTGCCTCGCCATGTGGTCACCTCCGGAGCAGGCGGGAATTGAACTCATGCGGAAGCGGCTTCAGATTCTCAGTGCTGTGCTTTAACCCGCTGCGCCACCAGGGAGGGCCTTGGCATAAATTTTTATTATTTAAGATACATCATAGCCGACACATCTATACGATGGCGCTACAGTTATACAAATGAGCAAAGGAAGCCCCTTTTCATATTTCAGTAGAATGATCGGCACAGACTTAGGTTTTTAAAGAAATGCCAAGGCTAGAGGAGGGGCAGAGTAGGGAAGGAGGAAAACATACCTGACTGGGTGCGTAAATTATTTTCCAGAAGGACATTCCGCAGCGTAAGAAGTTAGCCGCCAGGGAGGCCCACATGGGAGCAAGTGACAGGCGTGGGAAAGACTCTCACCAGCTCCACTTGGGTGGTTTTGACTGTGAACCACATGGGTAATTCATAGCTATTCTTTTATAAGTGCACAGCCGGCCGTCAGGTGGCCACAGCCCACACTCGGGCGTCGAGCCGAGGGTGCTCCACATGGGCGTCACTGGGCCTCGTAGACAGACCTGCTGCAAGGGTTCGTTCTCGTGACTGAGACGCTGCGTCATTTGGAACTCGCCTTTTCCCTGCCACAATCTGTTCTCCTCCTGTCAAGTGCAGCCAGGGGGTCCCAGGGACTTGGAGGCCCCCCCCCACATTAGGGTGTGTCCAGGTTTGCCCTGGCCAGCGCCCCCCGAGGGCAGGAAGGTGGCCCCACCCCAGTGGAGATTTAGAATGTTAAAATTAAGTTAAATCACATTAAAATTCCTCTGTCCCCCAGTGGCCACACTTCATGGGGGCTGCTGGCTACTGTACCCAGCACCCCCCTAGAACACCCTGTCACCCCCTGCCAAGTTCCGTGGGACAGTGCTGCCCTGAAACACAGCTTATTCCGTTTATTCTGCAGTGGTGAGGTTCCTACTGGTTTCTGTCTAGGGTGCTCAAGATGTGGGGACGTGCTCTCCAGTGGCAAAACGATTTTTTATGTGGGTCAGTTCATGAACACGGAACATGGGGCGTCCGGAAGCCCAGCACGGCTGACAGAGGCCCCCTAGCGGCCGTGGGCGGCTAGTGCAGGAAACGGGCGCCTGCGTTCGCGTCTTCATCCCTGAGTGTACCTGCCGACAGCTGAGTGTGCCTGCGCGTGAAAGCGTGTGGTGTACACGTTTGCGTCACACCTACCCGTGTGCTCGTGTGCGAGTGCCTGGCGTGTCTGCGTGTGCACATGTATGAGCATGTTTGTGTGTGTGTGTCCTCAAGCCAGGGACAGGCAGGGGCGGAGTTTCACAGCTGCACTTAGAGGCGGCTTGGAGAAAACAGGTAGATGTGATTACGGCGGGATGCCTGGAACCAAGAGGGGCGTTAAGAAACACTCAACTGGGCCCTCCCTGGTGGCGCAGCGGGTTAAAGCGCAGCACTGTGAGGCTGTCTGCAGCCCTTGCAGCACGAGGTCCATCCTGGGCCAGGGAGGGACCCCCAG